AAAAAACAAGCTTAAAAAAAATGTGTTTGTCTATCTGTCTTCTTAGCGAGCAGCCGGGTAAGGCAGGTTGCCCTTAAAGACCATTGACATTGCAACTATAAAACTATTTTCTCTTTATTCTTCTGTGCATCTTTATTATATGGAAAAGAGAAGAACCGGTCTTCTCTTTTACATATAACTATATATATATATATTAAGCATGCTGCATTTGCTTCAATTATTAGGGTAACAGTAGAACATGCACGGCAGCTTCAGATTTCAACATTAACTCAAATATTTATAACTATTAACGTATAACTATTTGGCTTCTTCTTGCATTAACTAAGCTCCGCTAATTCATTTATTAAGCTGAGTAAAGTTTGAATTAGTAGTGCACCTTTATTTGCTGCAATGAATTTTACTTCAACAAATTCAAAAATTACAAAAAAAACATCCGATTAAGCTTCATAAAGTTTACATATATTTTACAACAGAGCCACTTAAACAGTGTAACGTGGAGCAATCGCTGCACGAGTTGAGCACATTCAGTTCATTATGCATATCTCAACATAAAGTTTGTGCATGATATGCAATCTTATTGGCCACATTGAAAAATATATGTAATTTTAAAATTGCAATTAGCGCGTTGCCAGTAAAGATGATGTAGTCGTCGGCAACTTATGAAATTGCAGGGACCCCCACATGTACAGCTGCAAAAAACTGACCCGTAGGCATGGATCAAAAATGAATTTTTGTCCTTTAGGGATGCCCTTTTAATATTGTGAAATTTATATTTTATACAAGGGGCTAGCTGGCCACCGCATGGTTTCTGGGAAGCAAAAGCATGGAGGAATTTTTATTAGGGATATGCATCAGGATTGAGATGAGAACATTTATGTGCTTTATCGTCGGGAAGGGTAGGGTGGAGCATTTACATGCAGGCACCCCAAAACTTTTTTATTTATGAGTTTGCCAGCCCGCTTTCATTCGTTATTTATGTGCTTTATCGTCGGGAAGGGTAGGGGGGAGCATTTACATGCAGGCACCCCAAAACTTTTTTATTTATGAGTCTGCCAGCCCGCTTTCATTCGTTTTTTCAAATTCTACCCTCAAATATCAGATTTTCTTGAGAAAGTAAAATTGTGCTCGACTTCAGCTGGTCTTTTGACATGAAAATCGGGGCTTTGAGTTGCACAGGTGGAGGATATCATATTTGAAGAAAAGGGCGACGAAACTAGTGGATGATGCAACAAGTGCAAGATTTTGATTGGATGGTTTTTGTTGCGAATATGGAAATCGGTCCACTGTTTAGATTGACATTTTCTCTTGTTTGACAATAAATTGGATTTGATACGTGAAATTAATTGTTGTTAATTTCTTCTATGATTTGTTGCAAATGAGAAAAGGAAATAATTAATGAGATACTTTAATTGTTTGATTAATTTCTTAATGAGCCTAATGTTATGATGGAATTAATAAATAGACATGCTAGCTCCCATTGCAATCTCTCTCGTGATTTGGTTGCCCAGGCATCTCTCTTTGGCATTGGTAGATTTTCAGGTTTTTCTTCTGGTGTGCTTCGGTTTGAAGCTCTCAGGTAGAGAGAGGGAGAAAATAAGAGGAGAGAGAAGAGAGAGAGAGAGAGAGATAAATTCTTTCTTGTAATCGTCGAGGCGATCGACGTACATATTCCTTGAAGTAATAAAATCCTCTGCAGCTCCGTGTACGTAAGCAATTTGCCGAACCACGTAAATCTGTGTGTTTCCGCCGTGTTTTCTATTCAACGATTTTTCTCGATCCGACTTTTCGCTTTATTATCGACATTTTTTCACAACTGTATTAAATGAAAGAATGAATTTATTTTCGGTTATTTTATAAATGTAAATTGGAACTATAATTTTATATATACATACAACACAATTGTTATTTATTTACATATCTAACTCATTAATATATACATATATATATATATATA